TTCAAGTGGGACACAAGTCCAACGAATGTCCGACCCGGGGCCAAATTCAATTGATGGATGGTGAAGAAGAAGAAACTTTCGAAGACAATGAGGCGACCGATGATGCCGATGCAGAAGATGTGGCAGGAGATAAAGGCGACCCTCTGGTTTGTGTTTTGCAAAAGTTGCTCATAGCTCCTCGAAAACCCAGCAAGACTCAACGTAATGCTTTATTTAAAACTAAATGCACTATCAAGGGTAAAGTCTGTGATTTACTCATCGACAGCGGCTGTACGGAGAATGTTATTTCTCGAGCAGTTGTTCAAGCATTACAGCTTAAAACCTCCCCCAATCCAAATCCGTATAAGATAAGCTGGGTACGAAAGGGGATCGAAATCATAGTCTCGGACATGTGTAAAGTTTCGATTTCCATTGGCCGCCACTATATGAGTGAAATTCTGTGCGATGTTGTAGACATGGATGTATGCCATCTGATTCTTGGAAGACCGTGGAAATTCGATATGGGAGCCATTTATGACTGTCGGGCGAATACTTACAACTTTGAATGGAAGGGGAAGAAGTTGCGTTTGCTACCTCATTCACCAGAGCAAGAAAGCAGCTCTTCACATAGCAAAACGGCATTGTTTGCTGTTACCCGAAAGGCTTTACTCAACGCCTGGAGGGAGTCCGATTACATCCTGGCATTGGTCATTTCAGAACAGAACACCTCTACAGAATCGTGCGCTGTCCCAGAGTGTGTTAACCAGTTGTTGCATCGCTTTATGGATATTGCTCCGCCTGAGTTGCCATCCGAGCTACCTCCGGTTATAACAATTCAACATCAAATTGAGTTAACTCCTGGATCAACGTTGCCCAATTTGCCACATTACCGCATGTGCCCGAATGAACACAAGGTTTTGCAACAAATAGTTGATGAATTACTTGAGAAACAACTAATCCAACACAGCCTCAGTCCATGTGCAGTACCAGCCCTGTTAGTGCCCAAGAAGGATGGTAGTTGGAGGATGTGTATCGACAGTCGCTCTATAAACAAGATTACAGTTAAATTTCGTTTTCCAATGCCATGTATGGAGGACATGCTGGACAAATTGGCGGGGGCTCAAATCTTCTCCAAACTGGATCTGAGGAGTGGCTATCACCAAATTCGGATTCGACCAGGCGACGAGTGGAAAACTGCATTTAAAACTCGCCAAGGTTTGTACGAATGGAGAGTAATGCCATTTGGCTTATGTAATGCGCCAGCAACTTTTATGAGATTAATGAATGAAGTTTTAAAGCCCCTTCTCAATAAATGCTGTGTGGTGTACTTCGACGACATTCTTGTTTTCAGCACAACTTTGGAAGAACATGTGAAACATTTGACATCGGTTTTCGAAGCTCTGCGACACCAGAAATTGTATTTGAATATCATAAAATGTGAGTTTGCAACTCCTCAAGTGGCTTTCCTTGGATTCAGGATTTCGGCTGCTGGAATACAAGTTGACCCAAGGAAGATTTGTGCCATCCGAGATTGGCCAACACCACGCACTTTTTTTGATATCCGTAGCTTCCATGGACTGGCAAATTTTTATAGGTGGTTTATCAAGGGATTCAGTTTGATCATGGCTCCAATCACTGACATCCTCAAACAACCGAAATTTTCATGGGCTGCAGAACAACAACAGAGCTTTGAATTGATCAAAACCGCCTTGACTAACGCCCCTGTTCTCGTCTTACCAGATTTTGATAAGCCATTCACTGTTGATACTGATGCTTCAATGGTGGGAATCGGTGCTGTGCTATCCCAAGATAATAGACCGGTTGAATTCTTCAGCGAAAAATTAAGCCCGTCTCGACAAAAGTGGACGGTATACGAACAGGAACTGTATGCTGTCATCCGAGCGCTGAAACAATGGGAGCACTACTTATTACATCAAGACTTTGTTCTTTGTAGTGATCATAAGGCTCTCCAATATATTAATACTCAAAAGAACATCAATCGGATGCATGCTCGATGGATTATATTTCTGCAAAAATTCACCTTTGTGTTAAGACACAAAAGTGGAACACAAAATCGGGTAGCTGATGCGTTAAGCCGGAGAGCTGCTCTCTTAACTCAGCTACAGACGGATTTCTCAGGATTAGAAGGTATCAAAGATTTATACATTGATGATATTTTTTTTAAAGACATTTGGTCCAAGTGCAGGAACCGTGAATCAGTAGCAGATTATTGCTTAAAGGATGGATTTCTATTTAAGGCTGACTTGCTGTGTATACCGAGTTCATCCTGGAGGCAACCCATAATCCACGAAGCTCACGCAGGAGCTTTGGCAGCTCATATGGGGCGTGATAACACCATCCTTCAGTTACAGACACGGTTGTTCTGGCCACACCTCCGGCATGATGTGAATAAATTCGTGCAACGGTGCGCGGTCTGCCAAAGCTACAAGGGAGGGGGACAAAATACCGGCTTGTATCAACCATTACCGATCCCAAGCTCGATCTGGGAAGATCTAAGCTTAGATTTCGTGTTGGGTCTCCCAAGCGCGGTAATGATTCCATTATGGTTGTAGTGGACAGATTCTCCAAGATGACGCATTTCATTGCGTGTAAGAAGACGTTTGACGCCCTCAACATTGCCAAGCTTTTTTTTAAAGAAGTGGTACGTCTTCACGGCATTCCCCGCAGTCTTACTTCGGACAGGGATGTTAAATTTATTAGCCATTTCTGGAGGGAGTTGTGGAAGCGCATGAGTACATAGATACAATTGAGTTCAGCTTATCATCCCCAAACAGACGGACAAACGGAAGTGGTTAATCGAACTCTCGGCAATCTCCTCCGCTGCCTTGGTCAAGAGCATCCTAAATTGTGGGATGACATTCTCTGTCAAGCCGAGTTCGCCTTTAATTCCATGACTAATCGGTCCACGGGTATGTGTCCGTTTAGTATTGTTTATACAAAATTACCTAACACGATACTTGACGTTGCAGTGCTCCCCAAAACTCAAAGTAAAGCAGCTTCTGCATTCGCTGATCAATTTGTCAAGTTGATTGCTGACGTTCGCTGCAAGCTACAGGAATCAGCCCAAAATTATAAAACAGCAGCAGATGTACACCGACGGGAATGCATATTCCAACCAGGAGATTTGGTATACGTACGTATACGCAAGGAGCGGCTGCCACCAGGTCCTCAGTCGAAGCTAAGCAGGAGAAAATGGGGACCGTTCGCTATCAGTAAAAAGATCAATGATAATACATATGTTGTCGATCTTACGGCCGAATTTACTACGTCACATACTTTCAATGTTACTGATATATTTGCTTATGTGCCACCAGATGACAGCCCAATTACTATCGAATCGGTACAATCTGATTCTTCTCACGGAGGGGGCGAATGATGCGGTGCATCTATACTACAGTGATCCTGAGGAGCACGTTATCTTATTTTCTCTTTTTCGTTAGCCATTTTGCACATGAGCACTATCTTAGTTACTTTAGTTAGTTAAAACGTACTGTTGTGCCTTTTTACTTTTTGTCTCGTTTGGGAAACGCCTGGAGGGAAGGATAGGAGTATATGAGTGCTGAGTAAAGCAGAGTATAGGAGTTTTTGATGAATTTCTAATACAGAATTTCTGTTATTCCTCTTGTGTTCTGTAATCCTTTCCATTGCAGGTTTTTGATCTTCATCAAGATACTACACAATTCATATCGCTAGAAGCCAGGAATGGAGGCAAGGTTACACTTGGAGATAACACCACAAAGAAAGTGGTTGGATCTGGTATGATTGGTAATTTCAAAAACTTTTTTATAGACAATATGTTATTGGTTGAAGGCTTAAAGCATAATTTGTTAAGTATAAGTCAGCTATGTGACAAGGGATATAATGTGAAATTTTTACCTACTAGCTGCATATTAAGCCTAAATGGGAAAGAAGTTTTAAATGGAAAAAGGGTAAATAATGTTTACATGCTACATTTTAATTCATTTCATACTCCTATTGCTTTCTGTTTGAAAACTATTTCTGATGAATCTTGGCTTTGGCATAGAAGACTTTGTCATTCTAGTATGAAAAATCTTAGGAGAATTACCCAAAAGAATTTAGTAAGAGGTATACCAAAACTAGACTTTACTAAGGACCACCTTTGTGATGCATGTCAATTAGGAAAACAAGTGAAGTCCTCTTTTAAGTCCAATAATGATCTTAGAACTAGTAAACCATTGGAAATTCTTCACATGGATCTTTTTGGACCAGTAGGAACTGTAAGTCTAGGAGGGAAGGTATACGGATTTGTTATTGTGGATGATTTCTCTAGATTCACTTGGGTTAGATTTCTTTTTCATAAAAGTGAATCATTTGAGGAATTCAGAAATTTTTCAACTTGGATATAGAGAAAATTAGGATGTGAAATAATATCTATACAAAGTGATCATGGAGGAGAATTTGAAAATGAAAGATTTGAAAATTTTTATAAAGAAAAAGGGATTGATCACAATTTTTCTACACCTAGAACCCCTCAACAAAATGGAGTAGTTGAAAGGAAAAACAGAACATTAATAGAAGCCGCCCGAGCAATGTTGGCAGAATACTCACTTCCTAGATATTTTTGGGCTGAGGCGGTTAGCACTGAATGTTATGTTCTGAATAGGGTGAATGTGAGATCAAATTTAAATAAAACACCCTATGAGTTACTAAAAGGTAGAACACCAAATTTGTCTCATTTGCATGTTTTTGGTGTGAGTGGAAGCACCAATATTCACAACCGCATTACTATTGGCCCTGCGGCGTCGATTTTTGTTATATAGAAACTTCAAGTCATCTTCCCCCTGCGAGAGCCAAGAGGCCTTAGCTCGCTGAATAATCCATGAGACATGGAGAGAAGTGAATTTCGTGATTTGGTGGTTGACTTTTTTCAAATTGCTATTAAGAGACTCGTTTAAAGGGTAATCCGAGATCTGCTGCAGGCAATGTAATTGTTGCCTATGAAGGGAGTCCAGATGCTCCTGAATTGCCTTGGCATTAGTCTAAGGCTCCAATTTGAGCCTCCTTTTTAATGCACGAAGTTTATTACATAAATCAGCCAACGGGTTACCTACTTGGTTGGCAGAGAAAACATCAAGTAGGATATACCAATATGCATCTAAAGAAGTCCAGAAATTTTTAAAGAGGAAGCGGTGTGGAGTTGGGATATTAACAGTAGAGTGAAGAATGAGTGGGCAGTGGTCAGAGCAGGATGGGGCCTGAACCGAGTAGTAGGAGTTCGGGTAAGTGGAAGTCCATTGCTCATTGACCAATACTCTATCTAATTTGATGTGGATGGGATTACTGGTTTGCTGATTAAACCAAGTGTATTTGTTTCCCACCGAATTTAAGTCTTCAATGTTAGCATCAAAGATAACAGAATTTAATTCCCCTAAGCTGCTATGAGATAAGACATTACCTCCCGATTTATCCGCAGCAAAACGACAACAATTAAGGTCCCCCATTATTATCCAAGGATTTGAAATTGTATCAGCACAGCTTCTAATCTTATCCCAAAGAGGAATACGGGCATCTCTATCGTTATCTGCATAAATAACAGATAACGTAAAAGGAGAAAAAGTAGCTCCAGTGACAGTACCTGAGATGAGCTGAGGAGAAATAATCTTAGGTGAGAAATTAACTTTGGCAGAATTCTACTTGATCCAAATCCGGCCAGGAGATGCCAGATTAAAGTTGTGGCAAGATTGTTCCATAGGGAAAATGACATGAGTATCACAGAAGAAGGGATTGAGAAGGGAAGACAGGAGAATTCTATTCTCCAAAATGCAGAGCACATCTAAATTAAAAGACGAAATCAAACACTTACAGCATAAAACTTTGTATGGACTATTGAAGCCCCTAATGTTCCAGCTTGCAATAATCGGCAAAGACATTTTAACGATTGGTCGCCAGGGTCTTTTTGGCTTGCTTCCCCTTTGCATTTTTACTTTGCTTACCCGAATGAGTTTGCGGTTTCTCCTTTTCTTTGACCCGAGCAGAAGAGTCAATCTCTAAGGAAGTGTCATTCGCTGAGTTGTCTTGATCTTCAACCAACAGGTGAAGGGCATCAAACTTATTGGGAGATTGAATTTTAGGTGGTAGAGGCTTATATGGCGGTAAAGAGGAGGAGTTTGAGGATGATGAGGCTTCATGAGGAGAATTGAGATTAGGGATATTAGAAATGGACAGTACCAGAGTAGGTAATAAGGCAGTGGGGGGAATTTGGGTGGGGATGGTGGAAGAGGTTGGCGGAGGAGGTAGAGGAGGAAGGCTAGGATTCTGTTGAGTATTAGTCTGTTTAGACGAGGCTAACAGGGAACTCTGAACCATAGTGCTTTCCACCATGGTCGGGCCTGTTTGAGCTTGGGGACTGGGACCAGCGAGTGCAATGGAAGAGGGAATAATAGAGGGAGAAATGGTGGGAGAAGACGGTGGATTCCTACCTTGTGGCTTTCTACTTTTGCTTCGGCCACGAAACGAAGTCTGTGGAGGTTGGATGACATTAGAGGTCGCAGCCTCAGGTTTGAATGGACATAAAAAGGAGCCATGTACCATCGATTTGCAGTGTTCACAAACAGTAGGCTTCCACTCATATTGAATTTTCAGGCTGAAGACATCATCCTCTATAGAGATCGGAATCTCCTCAGGGTAAGTTGCAGAGGCGTCTACTTGAATGCAGACACGAGCGAAGGTGAGACGGGTTTTTTGTGCAGTAAGAACGTCAACAGCTAACGGGATGCCAATTTTGCTGGCGATGCGTGAAATACCTTCAGAGTTCCAGCAGATCAGAGGCAGATCATGGATTTTCACCCAGATTGGAATTGAAGTAAAGTTTTCACGCTTGGGTCGGAATTTAGGTGACCATTTTTAGAGCAGGAAGAGCCTCCCCAAAAAGAACCACACGCCTTTAGACCATGCCATCTCATAATCTTCCTCAGTGGTGAAACGAAGGAGGAAGAACCCATCAGATAGAGAAAGAAGTTGCATCGATCCCTTAAGGGTCCAGGTTTTGCGAATCGCTCCAAGAAGAGCTTCATAGTTATGAGACCTCGTTCCCTTACTGTTCCTCTCTGACTTGGATTTTCCTCCCAGGATCGTCTGGGACGATAGTGAGATCGTCCAGGCCGATCTGTACTGTTCAAAATATCGGCCTGAACCAAACAAAGATTCCAATTTTCCGCCCCTTTCACCAGACGGTCCCCAGCAAAAGGGATGATATCTGGTTCAAGAGGAAGAAAAGAGAGGGGTAGATCCTTAGATATGGGAACCGAGTCTATGACAATATTTTTCCACACACGAGAAGGTGCAGAGGAGGAGGGTCCTCCTGCATGCGCCGATAGCGGGGGAAAATCAGAAGCAGAGAGAGACTCCATGGAAGAAACTAGGAGAAGGAAGCTGAAAACCCAAGAAGGGGAGTCCTCCGGCGAAAGCCGGAGGAGGAAGGAGAAAGAGATCAAAACCAGGAACCTGGCGGCGGCGGGATAATATATATATAAATCAATATTTAAAATTTTATATTAATATAGGTGATATTTTGCATTATTTTTAGAATAATTTTAAAAATCAGATCGGACCGATCGGTTCGATCAACCCTTATAATCAGTTTCAAATCAAATTGGATAAAAAATGCCCGCCATGCCAATCGGAATGGCGAATCGTAGAATCAGTGCCGATTCTTAAGAACTACGCGGTTAAAAAAAAATGACAAATTTGAGCCGTTAATTTTAGATCCCACGACCAATGAGTAAACTCAGGAAAATAAACTAATGAGTAATGGCGTTCGATTTTCTCCTAGTACTAATTCATTTTGCTTGCTTGCATGTGTGCAGTCTCATTCATCTCTCGCTAGTCCTAGTTGTCACTGGCATTACTGTTGATGATTTGCAAACTCGACAACGACGAGCTCACCTCCCCATCACATTCTTCTATGGCATCATCCTTGCTTCTTCTCCTTCTATTGACCGTAGGAAGTAAGTTTTTTTAAACCCTAAAATACTGGATTGGTTGCAACAGATGAGAGAAATCCGCTCTTTATTTTCATTACTTCAAAGATTTAGTTGAGCCTTTCACTACTTTGATAGTGTTTAAATTTTGCTTAATAATAGTCAGTTACCATCAATTTCATGTAATGTTAGATGAACAGTGTCTCAAGTGATTTTACCTGGGTTTAGGGTAATTGCCGCCCTGCTGCACCTGTGATTCAGAACTCTCCCAACCCCCCTGCATAAATGAAGGGAACAAACTATTTGACAAAAGTTTAATATCATTAGTTGCAATCAAAATATGATCCTCTTTCGCATGAAGTAAGGAGGCATGGCGACAATGACAATTGTGTGGTGGCAGTCCGAAGGAGGTGGTTGGGTGGCATGTTAATGGGATGATTGGTAGACATATTAATGGAGTCCTCCAAGCATTTTTAACCCATGATAATTGACAGGCAATAGTTGGGGAGTGACATGATGATGGTAGTTATGCGGTAATGGCTTCATGGTTGCTTTTAAGCTATGTGTCGACGATGGTAATACGACATCGATGGTTTGTTAGACGATAAAAAATTTAAGCATTTAATGATTTATATAATAGATTAGATACAAATGAGGGCATAAGATATACATATAAGTTAGTCAAACAAAGAGATAAGAGTAGTAAGAATTTAGTTCAACTGAAATGCATGAAGGGTGAAGATTAAAAAATGTTTTTATTAGAAGAAGATATTCAACGAAGGTGGATAAAATAAAATGCTAAGTTTTTTGTGGGCTCCAAAAATTCACTTCCGACCTCTCCACAGACTCTTTCTTTCTTCTTCGGATTGTCAAGGAGAGTTTTAAACAAATAACTTCCTAGGCAAATTTCAGAAGGCACATTGGGTTCTAGATAAAATATTACATATTGATTTCACCATCTTTTTGTTAGGACTTTATGATCTGAGTTCAGGTTTCCTGTAGGTGTAAGCCCCTATAGTTAATTAACCCTCTTGATAATGGGAGAGAATTTTCGATTAAGTATAATAGTTTAATAAATATGTAGTATTCGGTGTATAGAAACAATATATTTAGGTATTTAAAAATTTAATATATAAAATTAAAAATTTCACCATCTTACTAAATAGGATGGTGGTGGAACTAATGATGGACCTGATCAAGATCCCATGGTCTCGTCATCCTAGGTCATTATGGTCCCTGGACTACTTAGTCAGAGGAGGAAGTCGACCCAACCTGACAGGAGGATCCTTGCCGGCAACCATGGGTTGCTTCATCCAATGGTACATTGTATTTGAATACTCAACAAACACCCAATAAATGAGCAAGTACTTAATAAATACTCAACAAATACTCATAAAAATCATGAGAATACTCAACAAATACTCAGTAAATTCTCACAAATGAATATTTGTTGAATATTTACAAATTCTTAGCAAATACTCATTTAATACTCAGCAAATTTGGACAGTTCTCCCGTCCAGACTCCGCACGTAGTAATTTCTAGTAAAAAAGCGAGGAGTTGTTATGGAGTGTAAGTGAGTCAAGTCAACTCATGAGTAGGCTCCATCTCGACTCAATAAATAGCTTGTGAGTCAAACTTCGGCTCGTTAGCTGGCGAGCAGACTCATTTAAAAGTATTAATATAAAATATACCTAAAAAACATTAGCACTTGTGATTTTAAGTACAAACTTATTAAAAATATTTTAAAAGTATATCTTATTTTCTTATCTAATTTCTCGCTTGAATCATACAAATTATTCTCTTTCACTCGAACTTATAAAATAAAGCTCTAGCTCGAGCAGCCCAAGCTCAAGTCACAGGTGACTTGAGCTCGTCTCGACTTGTTTAGGTCCCTATGGGCTGCTATGCAATTATTTTATTGGCATTTTTGCAATCACAGAAATCAACGGCTAATTTTTAAGTATAGTGTTCAAGTACATAGAATCCAATTGCTGCTGGCCGTAGGATGAAGTGAAGCCTTTGTGCTTGTGGTGCTGTAGGAAACAGATTGCTCGGCCGACGACGAGGACCTTCCCGTTGATCGAAGGTTACACGCAGGAGGGGTGTTGACGTCGCTGGGTCGGCATGCGTTCGATGGAAAGGGGGTTCCGCTGCCGCCGTGGCGGTTCGCCGGTGCCTGAAGCGGCGCCACGCATCTATTTTTCATTCATGATTTGAATTTTAAATTTTAAATTCATTACCGTTAATTGCCCTTTAATTAATGAACTTATAATTTAGTTCTAATTTATTCGATCAAAACCTATTTAATAAAATATTAGCCCATTAATTTTCAATGTCACATAATATTGTTTTTCTAGGAAATAATAACCACAGTCAAATTAATTACATAGAATGAGTCCAATTTAATCATATAGAATGAGTCAAGTTTAATCAAGTTGTTATTGACAGATTACACTGGTTGAATGATGATTTAATCAATTTGATTTTGTTAAAACTTTTGCATTTTAAATGTCTCTATAGTTTGAAATAGTCATCCCACGAAAATTCCATCAAACGACGATCAAATCAAGTCATATTTTTTTTTGCGACATTTAGGCCAAATAAGGCAGACACACACACAACGCATACACAAGACTCGAACCCAATACCTCTTAGTTGGTAGCCTAAGCTCCCAACTAACAGACCAAAATCAAGTCATAGATGATTAAGCCTGCTTTGATCAATAAAATCTAGTTACATCGATAGTAATTAGGGTTAAACACAAGATCAAAGAAAGATAGTGGCAGGATGCACAGTCGAATAGAGATCATGATTGTGGTGAAGTGCACTATCAAATTGTGATTATAACGAGACATGTTCGATCAAATCAAGGCCACGATTGCAGTGAGACTCACAATAGAACAAAAGTTGCGTCAGGGTGAGATACATAATTGACTGAATATCATGTTTACGATGAGACATATGATCAAACAAAAATTAAGATCATGATGAGGTGGACGTGAACAAATGAAGATCATAATTATAGTGAGACACAATCAAATAAAGGCCACCATCATGGTGAGATGCATGATAAAAAGAATTGAAGATATGTGTGTTTGACTAGGTTGTTGGGTTAATCAGGACGTCAAGTTTGAATCATCGAATGTATATGGTACCACTATGAGTAAACAAGGAAGGACTAAAAAGTTGACAAAAGTGTGTGTGCAATAGTCAAGCTAATGCATAATGAGAGTGAGGTTAACAAATGAACCCACAACATATGTGAAGTCATGCCCTAAAATCTAATTGGAAGGCTCATGCTTGATCCTAATTATCTGATCTTTCTATTTTACAAAACATAGTCAACTAGCATCGATATTTAAGAAGATAAAACATAAAATTTTATATTTCATCTCATCTAAAAAGTGTCATGCACAACAATCTAGTTCATTTTTAATTCACCAAAATATATACATAACTAAGTATATTATCAAAAGAATACCTCTATACTGAACGTACCCCCAATTAGACTTGAACCTTATCAACCTCTAATCTACTCTATAATGACTTTACATTTTCATTAAATGAAATATAAACATATAGAATGAGCAAACCAATTGCTGAGTAGACTACATAATTTCTATTAAAGAAATCAAAATCTATAATAGAAATAACTTACATTAAGTGAAATAGCATGAAATAACATAAAGTATTATATGTTAAATCAAAATAACATTTGCTAGGGTGAGATTTCATCAATTGCATGCTTATGATAGTCAAACTGATATTAATTGTTTTTACTTACCAATACTTTGAACTTGAAAAAAATAGTAAAATGAACTTTATTTGAACTTGTACATTAGAAATTTCTAAGAAGCAATAACATTGGCATTTCTTGAATTTAAACATGAGTATAAAAAATATTAAAATGAATATTATTTGAACTTGAACATGGGTACTAGTATATATACAACATATAAAATATGGCATGGTCATGACCCAATTCCTTCTTGATCATAATTATAATAATTATTGCTATATAAATGAGTGCATCTAAAATGATCCAAAAAAGTAATATTTTATGTTTGCCTTTATAAATGTTAATTGTTTGTGA